CTTGCATTAACTCTCCGTGATGTTGCCAAAGACTGTGCAGACTGTGCAAATTGCTCTTGGCCATTTGTTCCAGAAAATTGTAACATCCACTGCCATTTGGAATTTATGCCCATTGTTGACTACAATTAAATATTAAATGTGTGTTAAAATAATTTCATTTTCACAAAGTGCTAAGTTCTGATTTTTTCTACATATAGTCTAATGCTAGTTTTACCCTTCCCCTCCCCCTTTACATATTAAAATAGCGTTTTTCTGTCTCAAAATTTTGAATTGCAATGCTTGAAGCAAGCCTAAAATATGGTCATTATACACACTTGATCTTGAAGTGGCATTAAACTCAAAGTGACAGCATTAAAATTAGCAATTCAGGTACCATTTAACTTTTTAATCAATGTTTACTCTATATTTTAAATGAATACTGACACAGCTATTTCTGTATTTATGTGTATGCATAAATGTCTGCTGTTTGAGTTTCTCAAGATCTTATCAGCTTTTCCAAACTAAGACAATCAGCTGAAATAAAAGAAAGTTTTCTGCATTTGAGGGGAACATTTATTGTGACAATTTAGTTTGACACCATATGTCTGTTCCACAATGGACAGAGGATTTATTCCAATAAACTCTTATTGGAATAAAAATGTAAAAATGTTCCCTGTACTTGGAAAACTAAACCAGAAAGTAGCACACAAACAAAACCCCAACAGAAAAAAAAAAAAAAAAAAAAAAAAAAAAAAAAAAGGAAAAGCAGCTTCTCCCTTCAAATTAATTCATAACAATCTTTAAGACTTGTACTTTTGTGACATTACAACATCCAATAAATTCTCAAAAGTGTAGGGTATCCTTTTGTAACTCATAAATGTTGAGAGAAACATCATGGAAATAATTCTAAATCTATTTTCATTGCTCTTTCAAAGTCAAAATTAACACATTTGAAATAAATGTATGTCTGTAGAAATGTATAGGTATATATACCACCATGTAGAAACTGAAATATCCTTTTAGCAAAAATTCTGCATCACCTCACAGCAGCAACAGCGTTCTGTGATCAAGATGCCCTGTAATATTTCAGAAATGCCAGTGGAACAGTAAAAGAATTTATAAGTAGAAAGCCCCATTATATTGAGTCTTATTTTATATTTCTRCTGTATTGCTAGAGAGATGAGTGACTGCAGAAGGAGAAAATAATGCWTTGGTAACATAATGGTGTAACACAATGAAAAGGAATGACAGGGAAAATCCATGTTCTGAAGACTCTCACAAATAAAGGTGAAAAATAACACCCTAAATCTTCAAAGCTACAAGATTATTAYTGCACAAGGTTTAGGATAAATCCCTGACTGTGTTTAGAGGGGAGAAGAATTGGGAGGGGGAAGCACATTTTACAGCATATTAAAAGTGAAAGGACTCTGCATTCTCTGGTCAGTAACATTAAGTGATTTTCACCATAGTCTTGTGTTGGATTAGGTAAAAAAACCCCTCAAATTTCTAAGCAGTTTATAAAAGAAGTATAAAATGCAAACAAGTTAAGGAGGAAAAGAAAAGCTTTCTAAAAACATTCAGATGTCAGCTGAGTAACGAGTTGGCCAGGACATAAAATCTGTTCATTATATAAAAAAGAAATTCAGAGCAATTCCTGTTATTGAAAATATTTGACCTTTTATGAAATAAAACATGAAACTCAATTAGCAACCATTTATTTTTTAAATAAAAACAACAACATCTGCAACAAAATACTGTAGATTCCTTGTTGCACAGTTTTTAAAGGCTCTTAAATGACCATGCAAGATGGTTTTGTGGATCATTTGTATTTTGTGACTGAATGGGTTTGGCTCTGCTTTTCAGCAAGGATATCAACCAGATTATATCAGTTATATGCTCATGTGTTTTGGGAATGGTTTATTGTGCTCTATCTTTACCTAGCTGACAAACTATTTCATGGGAACTTACAGAAATGAARAACAGCYRAAAYTATTARTTCACTTTCATGCCAATCCTTAAASTGGACARTGAAAATTTAAAAATGACMGGGTGATTATCAATATTTTGGTAGCACCAAGGTCATAAACAACGTGCCCATAAAATGGRAAGTGATAGGCTTCTGGGTTTTCAGGGACAAGGATGAAATTTACAAAGACACCTCTCTTTCACTATCCCCTGCCCATCTATTTGTTTTAGGAGAGGTAATTAGAAAAAAACCCATCAGGTGCGAGGAGACACAGCAGCAATTCTGTCAGGACCACCTATTTAAATCTTGGCTAAATTTGCAGAGTTAGGTACCATGGTCATTGCCACCAGAATTTCATACCACAGAAAACACAGAGAATGGAACAGGTAATGCAAGAACATCAGAAAAGAAATAGGTAGGTATTTGTTAGATTCTTATATAAAGTAAATGAAACAGTATACTTTGTCTTAAAGCTCAAGTGAAGAACTATAAATTCAGCAGGTCGGTTAACACTGGGAAACTAGGGATTATCCTTTAAACACAATATAGTTTTTTTGGGGGTTTTTTTCCCAGACAATATTACCCATTCAGTGACCCCTGCAGAAACCTCTGTGCCTCTAAATTTCCCAAAGACAAATAAAACCACAGGAACACAGAACTAGCTACTTCCAAAGCAGTACACTAAACTATGATGCCAGTGTGCCTAGAAAAGTTTGGGACAGCCCATGAGTTCCATGAACAAGACACAAATAGCTGAGGAATTAAAGTGGCTTAAAATACATGGCACAAGGGAAAGGTAATAAATTGATACCCAGAGAGATCAGGGAAGTCAGACAGAGAAGAAAAACTGTGTTTAATTTTCTGCTTTGTCACTCAGCCACCTTAAATGCAGATTTCATATGTGGCCTATTTTTAATTTCTCCATCATCTGCTGCTGGGTTACAGGGGTAAACAAAAATCCGACTAGCCAGGTCACTGCTTTGATCTAAGAAAAAAACTCCCCATGACACAAAGCATCTGTGTCCAGCTCCTCAAGACATTCGAGGAACAACTTCTTCTCTGCTGTCTCCTGGCATCCTGGGCTCATTTTGGACCATCTTATGTTTCTTAGGCTGATGGTCTAAATAAAAATAAATAAAAAAAAAAAAAAATCCTTACTAGTGGATGTGTGAATAAAGGTGAGATTAATTCTGTGAGTTGAGACCAGTAGTGCAAAAGTAGTGAAAGAAATCTTAAAGGTAAAAACCTTATCAGTGGACTACATTTGAAAACTATTTGTTATTATATGTGAGACAGGAAGTGATTTCTTCTGTTTGCTCTTTTGTTTTTATGTCCAATTTTAAGGGGTCACACCACAAATTTATCCAAGAGGGAACATACTACTTAGCCCAAGATTATTCTCTTCTGTTTAGTACGTGATTTAGAGCACAGAGAGTAAATAAAACTTTTTTTTAGGAAGTCCTCAGAATGTTCTGAGAAACAGAAGTACTGAAGAAAAAAGCTTGTACTTCCAGTTGTGTGTCATCCAGCTGAGTGAGCTGGAATTCAGTACTTCCCTGTTTGCTTTTACCMTCTTTTCTCTTCTTTACTGTTGGTTTTACAGAACAGAAGCTCTTTCWCACTCAAGGAGACTTTCATCCTGATTAGGTCCTCTAGGCATTCCTGCAGTGTGTATTTAGAATTCATCATCAGCTTTCCTTCTCTTTATGATTATCTATTATTCATATTGTGGCAGTCTCAAGAGACCAATAAGTTAAGATTATGACGAGTTACAATATAGGGATAAATACTGATGGCAGGTGGATCGCTAATTATAAAGATGGATGTATGTACATAACTTAATGATGTCAATAACTAATAATATTCCTCTTTTCCAATTAGATTTAATGATTTTTTTTAATTTTTTTTTTTTTTAACTGAGTGTAGCAAATGAAGTTGCAGGAATTTTGCAGTAGTTTTGCCTTCTTTAGAGCTGCCACATCCCATTGGTATTTTGCAATTTTCATAACAGTTATAAAATTACTAGTGACATGGTGAGTTTAKACATTTTTTCATTATTAAAATTATGACCATTTACCAAGAGTTAACATCCAGGAAATGTGGAATAMTACAGAAATAAATGGAAAGAAAAATATAATTACCTGCTCTATTTAGCAACACAGTAATTCTATAGAAGTTAAAGGTAAGTTTGAAATATTTGGAAATTTCAAGGAAAACAAAAAATTTTTTTGGCTGAGAGAGGGTTGATTTTGTTTCTACCCCACCAAATCAATCTTTGTACATGTTTAAATGCCTTCTCCACTTATTTGGCCCAGATGCTGCCATGTTCTTGTTATAATTAAATATGGCACATAGGTATGTATATAAATAAATAAATATAAATATGTATAAATAAATCTGTATAAATGTAAATATAAGTAAAACTAAGTAATAAAGGCACGCTACAATGACAGAGCAGCATTTAAATTTTATTTTAGATAAAAAAGTGTATTGTAATAAAATGTATTGCAGATATGTATGAATTTCTATTGCTAGCAAAGTTTATAATTTCAGTTAACCCCATGAAGTTAGCAGAATATGTAATCCCAGAGCAAGCTCAGTTAAATTGAGCAGTGACTTAAGTTTTAAAAGAAGGTCAGCTAAGACTTTAATAGTCAAAAATAGTACTACAATAACAGAATTTAAAAAACAAACAGACCAACCCCACTCCACACTGGAGCGTTTACAGTAGCTTTTGATAACTTCAAATTTTAAAAACTGATTAAATAAATTTGTTTCATATTCTGTGGTTATAATCACATGACAATAACAGTTACAGTGAATTAATCCAGAACACTCTTTTTGAAAGAGATTTTTGGGCAACGAATTCCAGGAAGAAGTATCTGTGGCAAGACTGTGACACAATTTAATCATCATCACAACTTTAAGGTGTAACCTAAAGTTTGCAAATCTTGCTCCTGTCTAAGTGCCCTTAAGAAGCAGCATCTCACTGTCTCACAATCTCACACAGACAGAGAGAATGAAAGGGGTGAAGGGGAGAAAAATCTCTGCTCACCTATGGTTGGGTCATGGTAGTCAGGGAACCGATGACTGATGAACTGCATTGTCATTGCTGGAGAGGAGAAACAGACATGGAAAAATAATTATTTCACCATTATTAAAGAGAAACTAGAAGAAGAAAACAGATCATTCACTCATTCATTCATTCTTTCATTCATTCATTCATTCAAGTATCAACTTGGAGTGTGAGCCCAAAGTTTGTTTTATGTCTACTAAGTCCAAAGTTTGTTTTATGTCTTCTTCTGCAACAATGCATTGGCACAACAGTGGTAACCAAGAACCGATAAATGAAGAAAAATATTAAATAAAACTCTTTACTTGTTTTATTTTTTTGCTTTCTTATTTTTTAAATGTTGTTGTATTAATTCTTGTATTAAATTCTTACATGTTTTTGACGTTTGGTAAACACTGTTAGTCTGATATTGCCTACAGATGAAAGTTGCCATGACAAAATAATAAAACAATATTTACAATAAAACAATATTTACAATTACTACAATAAAACAATCATTTATTTGATTCATAAAAGTTTTCACCGTGACACAAAACACCGCTAACTGAAGTGCCTAATATGATTTCTGGTGGACTTAGGAGTGTTTAATTCATTAAACTTGATGCAAAAATGGARGTTCCTCTTAACTGCCAAAAAAACCTTTCTCCTCAAGAGACTTTTTAATGACTGAGTATTATCTGCTTCCAGAAATTTTAGGAAAGTTCCATGAGATTTTAGGAAAACTGCATTCTATCATTTGGAACAGATGGCAAGCTGAAAGTGAAATTAAAAATTATGTAGAAAGGCACAAAATTCACATCCTGTCCTCCTGCCCAACRTGACACCTGAAGCTCCTTGCCCTTAGATAACCAGGAAAGTAAAYTTGGGTTTCCACTGACCACAATAATATCAGCAATMRGAAGAACATGGGAAGTTACATTATSTTTGTTGTTTTTCCTCAGAAGTTTGAATTACAAGTAATTTGAAAAGTATATGTTTCTACCCAAAAAATGAGCGTTGTGAATAAAAGTATTTCAAAAGTGAAATATGTAAATTCTAATTAAATAGAAGAGGGCAGAGAAAAAAAAAAGAGTGAAACAGAATTTTTTAACTACTGCTTAATTTTTAAGCTCTTTTCTTTCCTTATTTTTACCTTTTTTCTTTTCCCCCGGCACTAAAATTTGTCTATTGCTACTATATAGATATTTGTTTAAAAAGTATCCCACCTAAAATATGATTATCAGTCACATCACATGAAATCCAACATAAGATTTGACCTTATGTCTTGAACTTCTCAAATACTTTCAGCAAACATCTAGAGACTATGAACAAGATGTGAGACATTTTAAAAAATCTGCATGTAAATACACCCGTTTTTCAAATACCATTGTTTCATATTAATGTTTGTCCTTCTCATATTTTCAAGAAACAGAGGCTAGGGAGATAGTTTTATGAAATTATACAGRGAAAAAGTATTAAACATTTATTATCATGTTAATAAATTATTGCATCTTTAGTGCRGACAAATATAAATGCTAAGAAGCAGCATTATAAATTCATAGATACCCAGAGAGGGTAACTGTGTAAGAAAAAGCTCATTCAGTCTATATATATTATAGGGCAATAAATCTATGTGCTGTCACACTCAGGTCTTCTGTATTATCTGTTTTC